ATGTAGGTCAGTGAGTGAAGTATGAGGAAACGGGTGGAAAATACTTAAGAATAGTGGTATGTCACTAGACAGATATGTAGGCGTGTTCATGCGAGAGCCGATATATGCACAGAACTTGTAAATGTGGTGTCAATCAACTTGCCAATGTGTTAGGAGCGGTGACTTTATTGAGTGGCGAGTCACATCCGCCACGTCGCAGTGTTGTTAAACAGACATTTGTGGCATTTTGTAGGCAAAACGCTTGCCAGACGAAGACCCACCACGTCCTGGAACACTGCCGGCTGTTGATATACATTGGCAAGATGGTATCTGACCAATTACCCTCGCGGATATTCGCAGTCATGCAACGCCAATTTGTTCCCTATGGCTGTGTAGTCGACTTCGGAGTCCATTACAAGTGGTTGGAGCTGTTGAAGTCGGACGACTCCGGTGACTTGTATTGAAGTGATCAGTTTCCTAGGTTCTTTAGTGTGTCATGATTATGAAGTGCGGGTTTTTCTTTGTTCTTTATTGAATCCGGGTCCATGGGAGCGTCGCAGGTACGTCTTCAGCGGTGTTCGGTGCAGGTAATGTTATCCTGTAACAGTCCACCCTGTTTTGGCTGACGTTACAGTCATGGCTGAAAACGTTCGATCGGTTTGCGAATCCGGGTCGATCGGCGTAATTGAGTTTCCCCTGTTGTTCTGTGTTCGTCGTGCTCTGCAGCTTGCTCTGCGATCTCCGAGTGTGACTGACTCACGGTAGGTGTGGCAGTGCTCCTGGGGCGTACATGATCTGAGTGCCGGCGAACAACCCGGCCGTCCGGAAGCTGCAAATCGTTTTGACTTCCTGAGGAATCGAGCACAGTCGCCGGCTGCCAACATTGTTCATGCGGTAACCTGGTGTAAACAGGTTGATGGTCCTGGAATGTAACGTCCGGCTTTGATTCCTCTGAAGACACAAGCTTTTTCTGACGCTCCTGTACTTCAACACGCGTGTTCGTGAACAACAAATGAAGCCTTGTTCTCAGATTTCTGCCGAACATCAATTCCGCCGGGGATTTCCCGGTAGCCTCAGGGGGTGTAGAAAGGTAGGAGAATAGGAACCGATCCAGTTTTATTCGCAATGTTCCCGTTCGCTGCTTTAGTAAGCCTTGTTTCACAGTTTGTACTGCACGTTCCGCTAATCCGTTTGATGCTGGGTGATACGGGGCTGATTTAACTTGTTGGATTCCGTTGTTGGAGACAAATTTACCAAATTCGGCACTGGTAAAAGGCGAACCATTGTCTGTACAAATGGTTTCCGGAATGCCAAACGTAGCGAAGGACGAGCGCATTTTAGTGATGGTAGATTGGGCTGTCGCCTGAGTAACTGGATTTACGTCAATCCACTTAGAATGTGCATCCATAAGTGGAAGAAACATGGTCCCGTCGATCGGTCCGAAGTAGTCGGCGTGGATACGCTGCAAGGGCTTGTCGGGCCAACGCCAAGGGTGTATTGGATCTGGCGCCTTATTTAATTTGGAATAGCGAGAAAAGGTAAAGATCTGACAGGTTTTATGATGCTCAGCCGGCAGTCAATTTCCTTCCTATTAGAAGTCATACTAGTTACGCACAACCTGCTGCTGCTCCTACCGAGTTCATTCAGGTGACACCCAGCAATCTGCTTAGCCTAAGGAACGCAATAAACGAGATGGGTCTGCTTTCAAACAAGTCTTGTCCTGACATGCTTGTTCTCACTGAAACCTAGTACTCCACGGATATAACGTATCGGGAAGTATCTTTAACTTGTTACGCACCGCTTAAATGTGATCGCTTAGTTGGTCGCCAATGCATGGCTTTGTCCTGTATGTAAACCTTAAACTGGATGTGTTGCGGGTCGTTGGATAAGGTTGTTGAAGACCTATCGACTGTTATGTGCACCTCCTCTCAGTTCACAGTTATAGCGGTATTTCCAATTCCTGGAAGTACTTCCATGGGGGGGGGGTAGCATTTATTCGTACTCAGGCTGCCAGTAGGTGTCTGGTCCTGGAGGACCTCAACCTCCCTTACAACTCAGCGACAAGCACCTTTGGTTCGGATCTTCTCGAGCTAACGTTACAACTGCGTTGACATCGGTTCATGCACCTTCCGACTAGCTACATGAGAAACCAGTCACTGTATACGTCGGACCTTGTTTTTACCAAGTCATTCGAGTGACCTTACCTACGGCTTGCATCTATGCACGAGCGAAAATCTCCATATCTTTTGATTTACCCGTTATAAGTATCATCAGACTACCGCTAATGTATGCTCAAATATTTGATAGGCGGATTTTAACGCAATGAGAACTGGAGCTTCAGTTTTGCATTGTGAGGTCTTCGTGACCGACACTGTTCAGTCCACCTGGGAGTCGTTTCGGGAATATCTCATTGAAGTTTCTACTCACTATATCCCAGTTCTGAAGAAGAGGAAGAAGAATAAAAAGATGAAGAAGAAGATCGGAGCACAGCCTCCATGGATAGAGTCGGTCCGTTGCCCTGTGGATCATACATCTGCTGTGGTAATAGCTAGTCGCTTGTGCAAAGCAGAGGAACTAGGCGTATCCATGTGGGCTAATCACGGGCTGCGACTGCAAATTAGTCGGACTAGTATGCTACCAGATAGCTGCTTAACCGAAAGGATCATCATCATCATTATACATGTCAGCTAGAGATGGTAAAAACACCTCCGCTATTGTACCGCAATACATAAAGGAAATACATACATACATACATACAATACATAAAGGAAAAATAAATACGACAGTTGAATGCCAGCTGAGCTACCAGCAACGGATACGCATCGTTCCGGTAAGCTACTAGCCGGCTACTTGGCAAAAACAAAAATTTAATTACGTTTTACCCTACGTAATAAGATCGTAGATGGAGGGGGAGGCTAAAGGGATGGGGAGGGACAAAGAAACTCACAGCAGGAACGCCACTGAGGTCGGCTCCTTGCCATATCAGCAAGTGTATCCAGCCAAAGCAAGTGTATCCAGCCAAGCAAGTGTATCCAGCCAAACCGAAAGGAACTTAGCAGCTTATGGTAAATTGGCCAATCAAGTGCACGCATCAACAGGCCAGGGCAAGGAAGCGCAGTTGGCTCATTGGCGGGTCGGTTTAGACGGGACGCACACACAGACGGGGTAAATATACAATAATAAAGAATGCGTCAGCTGTACGCCGTAACTGCGCTTCGCTGCCGCGCGACCACCACCAGTGGCGCGCGGGCTGAGTATACCGCGAGGACGCCCACCCCTACGCGGATTCGAACCGGTGACCTTATGGTTGCAAAGCAAACGTACAGACCGCTCGGCCGTCGGGGTAGGAACGACAGACCAGATTTACAAAGCGGAGCTGCCATACCCAACCGTTGCTCAAGGCGATTAAACGAAGTCGGAGCAGAAGCCGACAGACAAGCCGTGTGTGGGACCAATGAACGCAAAGTAACACGAAAGCCGCAGCCGCTAATGTCGACAAACAACCATTACCCATTTTTTACAGTATAAACGATGCCGTACTTCTTCAATAACACTCTGACCGTTGCCCAGACTTTCTTTTGACTCTCGGAAGGCGCTACCCGACATGGTTTCAGAGGAAAAAACAGCCGACACGCCGGGCTCCAGTCGCTGTTGCTGGACAGCCATCGATCCCCCTGCCGACCGTTCTGCAAATGACAGAAAGCTCGCTACCGGATAACTGGAGATTGTGGAAATTGAAGTGGATGGATTTCATGACGCTGACACAATTGGACACCCATCCGATGCCATACCAACTGGCTATGTTCAGATATGCCATCGGCGACGAGGCGAAGCGCGTGTTTAAATCGGATCTGTCGGACATAATCAGGAAATTTGGCGAGTATTGCGAAGGCCGATCAAACAAGACGTACCAGAGATATCTTTCGAGAACTGCGTTGCAGAGCTGAAGATAATGGCATGAACTTGTAATTCCTGCGATTGTCTTCGGGACTCTTTCCTACTTGACCGCATCGTTATCGGCATACGAAATGATGGTATCACCAGGCGCCTACTGAGACAAAGAAGTCTATCCCCAAACCTATGTATCGGAATCTGCTTAGACGAGACGAGGACAGCCCAACGACTCCAACATTTACATACGAAGCAAACAGTAGAGATTTGTGCTGTATCCAAGATCAAAGATTCTCCATCCCAACCGGCCGATGGTAGAGAGCCAAGCTGCGAGTTTTGTGGTCGCAGGTATCCAAAAGGAAAGGATGCCTAATCCGTATGACGAGAACGCTCGCACAAGGCGGTACAGTGTTCTGGACCCGGAAACAGAGGGTGAAGGCCTAGTCTGGGGGGGGGTTGAACAAACTTGGAATAAAATGATTAAATGTTTGTGCCATAAAACGCAGTTTGGCAGGTTTAGCGGCCAGCAACTTGGTTGAGGAGAGTAATTCCAGAAAGCGGAAGCAGAGAGCGAGCGAAGGATCGTTGTGACAGGGTTCCATAAGATGTTTGAGCATGACACCTCCCGGTTGCCCAGGGCGAGAAAGAGAGTGGACTTAGGGAACCCCACGCGGAGCCTTGGGTTATAAAAGACCGAATCCGCAAGCCAGCGGGGTGATTGACGTATACCACGAATCGTTCAGAGTCGGCTAGCTAGGTGAGAATACAACGGCTTTCGAGTAGAAACAAAATACTCAGGGCGCCCAAAAACCCCAAGTGCCACAGCAAGAAGTCTAGGATTCCCTGGACCACCGAGCTCGCTGTCAACCACGAAGGCCGTTGGCAACCGGGTGGCTCATACGTCTACATAGAAGCCCGTGGCCATCGAGGTTGTCTATCCGCTCTCTGTTAAGTACCCACTTTTGTGACCAGAAGTGAATAATCAGTGACTCTATAGTCGGTCACTGGCTTATGGTATTTAATGAAGATCCAGCTGACCAGCCTATAATTCCCATTCCTTGTATCTTCGATTGCACCTTTCTTCAACCGACTTTTCTAGACCTGGTTAGCGCAGAAGTTGGGCACTATTTATGAACCGTTTCCTTTACTTCGCATGCCGCAACCGCTTATCTCTCCTTCTACTTTCAGATTTTGTCGTCAATTATCCAGTTACCGTCACGAAGGCCGGTTGATCATTTATTCAACAGAGTCTAACCCATGAAACTACTGGCTTGACCACTATGTTGCCACGTGTGATCCTCATGAACCTCAGCACAATTTTTGGCATTGGAATAATTGCCTTTACTGCTTGCTGTTTAACAACTATTATACTCAGCTGAACCGAACTTACGTGTTCATTCCTGTTCCGATGTGAGTACCCATTCATTTATTCAACACCGATTAGTTTTTTTTGCCTTCTTTTCTAATTTTCCCATCGATTCATTTAGCTGGCGACGTCTTTTCTTAAGTTGCGTGTCGATGTGACCGCGAAAAGCTACAGAGCACTTTTGCCTACAGAGAGACCATACTTGGTCTGAACTACGTCATACTCGGCTTCACCTATACACTTCATCTCCAATGTTAACTCAAAGGAATAAGACGGTTGCACACGATGGTAACCATCACTTATCTAGACCCGACCCACATTCCGTCAGCTGGGCCAAATCGTGCGTTCCGGAAGTAATTAAGGTTGTGGCCATGGCCTGGCCACTCGGAGCCTAACGCTTTCGCGAAAGCTATACACATCACCTCTTCCAACAATGATTGATAGACTTCTGGACCTAGTAATGGATGTGAAGACGTCGGACTGGTGGAATCCTTATGGAACACATGCCTTGCGTACCCAGATTTAGCATTTCAAGTGGGAGTAAGCATCGACCGTTCAACGTTGACTCATTGTGCAAGTTTAATTTGGTTTCAGCAAAGATGCAGCACATGTGTCCCATAAGGTGCAGTACTGGTGTGATTAGGTGATTCTGGAAACGGGTGTCTTTTGTCTGCTCATTGACCGAGTCCTTCTCAATTGCAGGAACTTCTGCATTCTCCTCTAACACCGATACCTCAATGGCCACACCATTGTCACCAAATCAATCTGACCGCTTGAGTTTACGCACTTTATCGGTCATTAGCTCCTTCAGGCAGCATGACATACCGCTGACGAAACCACTGGAGCCGTTGTCACCAAAAGCTGCTGCAACTGCATTCGCTAGTATGCTCCTCTTCCCAACATTACACTTAGAACATACATTTATTGTTATTCAACACCTGACCGATATACAATTGGCAGTGCCACAACACATAGTTAACATCATCATCATCATCATCATCATCATCATCATCATCATCATCATCATCATCATCATCATCATCATCATCATCATCATCATCATCATCATCATCATCAAACCCGCAGGAGCAGCATCGTCTGCATCATTGCCAACAACCTCATCATCATCATCATCATCATCATCATCATCATCATCATCATCATCATCATCATCATCATCATCAATCTTCATCATCATCATCATCATCATCATCATCATCATCATCATCATCATCATCATCATCATCATCATTCATCATCATCATCATCATCATCATCATCATCATCATCATCATCATCATCATCATCATCATCATCCTCATCATCATCATCATCATCATCACTCATCATCATTCATCATCATCATCATCATCATCATCATCATCATCATCATCATCATCATCATCATCATCATCATCATCATCATCATCATCATCATCATCATCATCATCATCATCATCATCATCATCATCATCATAATCATCATCATCATCATCATCATCATCCCATCATCTTCATCATCATCATCATCATCATCATCATCATCATCATCATCATCATCATCATCATCATCATCATCATCATCATCATCATCTCATCATCATCATCATCATCATCATCATCATCATCATCATCATCATCATCATCATCATCACAAGGGGAAAACTGATAGACAGTGGAAAGGTTTGGAATGTTTACCAGGTTAATGTGTTGTGCGGGCAGAGATCTTCCCGGTTGCCCCGGCCGAGGAAGTGGGCTGACTTAAGGGATGCCACCATGAGCTTTTGGTCATAAAGACCTGACCCACTAGGCAGCGGGACGATTAACGGAGACCGTTGACATCCGGGTAGCTCATTCGCCTGCTTTGCGTTCAGTAGCAGTCCACAGAGAAGCCTGTGGCCAACAAGGTTCTTCATCCGCCCTCCATTAGGTACTCATTTCTGGTTACAGAAGTGAGTGGTCAGTGACCCTATAGCCGGTCGCATTGGCTTTGACACAGCACCGTGCGGACTCTTCTGGTATTCGATGGAGAATTAGGTGACCAGCCCAGAACTCCCCACGCTCTGAGACGCTGCTGCTGATTGTCCGCAAATGTTTATCTATCTCGTCTGCAAGTCAAACGATACTTATTCGCAGTTACATCCACAAGGACGGCATTCCCCGATCCGCAACCTGCGGACGCGCTCGATATCGTACAGCTTCGCCATGGGGAAAGACCATTTACTTTCCACCGACTCACGGCTAAGCAGCAGGGTATGGATTCTCGGGAGTATACATACATTTCGGTGCTCACCGACTTCTGATGGTTTCCATACTTAGCTCCGCACTACACGCGCCAAGTGCACTCTACACATCACGCTGGCGTATCATGTCATTGTCCGGGAGATGAGCTTGGTCATTCCCTGGATGCATCCAAATACTAATATCTGTAGTATCCGGGAACTATGTATTCGTGACCATTTTGCCTTGAGGGACACATAGTGATACTGTGTGACTCGATTACCTCTGGCCCACCTTGACGTCACAGCCAGCGCGCAGCTGCCATTTCCCACTTTTGCACTATCAAAATGCAAACATTTCCTCCTGATTGGGCAGGAACCACCCTTTCACTAACCCTTAGTGGGGATCTATTAGAAGTCGGTCAGAAATTCAACTACTTGGGAAGGTATATTGGCGCCTGTGCAATAGAAGGTAAGGTTGCAAACTGTACAGTAGGAGCTAGTGTCGTTTTTACTCGACTTCACCACTTATGACACCGGTGCGGCATCATGCTGGTTATATAGGTTACAGTCTGCAATACAGTCTTCCGTCAAACCCTACTGTATGGTTGTGAGACATGATCCACAAGATCGACAGTCATAAGGAATCTAGTTACCTTTAATCACCATTGTCTTCGCAATTCGGCTCATGTGTAGTGTGCAAATTGCGTGTTCACCTCTTTGTTTAGGCCACAAGCAGATTATCATTATTTCACACACCAGGCTTCGATGATTGGGTCATGTGTTACGCATGTCAGTACGCCGACTCACGCAATGTGCGTTGTGTTGGATGGAATAGGTGAAGGGGAGTCCATCAGCTGACTTGATCTAGAGGAATGTAAACTCACTCAGAACTTGGATTTGGTTGATGCCATCCTGCTCCCAAGTTGGGGTCGCAAAAGCTAGGAACACCTTTCGTCAGCTACAAATGTAGACATGTTCACGAGCCAACATCAGCGGCGTTCGGGTTATGAGTTTCCTTGTTCCTCTCTCTGCTGCTTATCTTGTCCATCCAACCACAATCTCGTTACTGTACTATTATGTAGCTTTTCACTTGGGCACAACGACTGAACTTTTTCGCCTCTAGCTAACTTGAATGATGAGTGAATGAGCTGGCCATCAAAATTAAATTTATCCGCCCTCCACGCAGTTCCATTGCATTCTCTACTCATTGCGTTTTCTCCGTTCATGGGCATTTTATTTTCTCTAACAACCGCTTTTCACTTTTTAGCAGTTTACTTGGACTTCCCTTCTGAACATCCTGGCCTCTCCGGTGTGGGTTAACTGCCCACATGGCAGCTCGACGTACGACAAGGAGTCATATGTACCAGAATGCTTCCCAGTTGTCCGTACCTTCTAAGTCAGTTAAGACGCAAGAGCGTTCTACTGCGCATCATGTACACAACCACAGTGACTTTTCTTCTGGGAATCCATCTATGCGTATCGTGTTTGATGACAAACCGGTCTATGGTCCCACATTGCAGGGTTATAAACGGAAAAGCAGATTTTTAGCTAAAAATCCCCAAACCAGATGGCAAACTAAAAGGACATCTTTAGCCATGAGAGAGTTATTGCAACTGGATAGCAAGGATTTAGAAGAATTTATCACAGATGCATTGATTGAACTTCTCAAAAGTCGCCTGGAACTCAAGTCTTCTCTCACACCAGCCACCGGTAGTCCCAAATCCGACCATGTTGTTGAATCCGTAGAAAAAACGTGCACACGGCGTTCGCCTCATCACTCTACGAAGTTCAATAATGTTCCTGAACTAGCGTCTACCTATTTGTGTTCCTCGCCTGCTGATACTTGCGACCGCTTCATAGCCAGTGGCCAGACTCAGTTAAAGACTCATTCTTCAAACCCTTCAATTTCCAGACCTTCGCTACCACGTACCACTAAACTAGATGTTGTTTCCACCGTTCCCTCTAATCAGCGGCACTTTAATGCCTCTAAAAATGTGGCACATGTCTCACGGTTCCTTGCAGTGCCTCCTGCTGGTGGTAGAGAACGTGCGCCTCAACATGAATTTCCTACTTCCACTCGCCGATTCAGCTCGGTTGTCGGAACGCACCCTAATTCCGATCACCACGAGCGGCGATCTCCAACGTTTGCTTCCACCACTGCTACGGTGGACAGTCCTCGTCGTTCCTTTCCCCCCTCAAGACTGGACAATCCTCCCAACGTAAAGTTTAAACAATATTTTCCATTTCCCTCCACTCAGGAAGCGCATTCAAAGTATCTGAGACAGCCGAATGTGTGTGTTCCCGATGGCACTTCAAATCATCAGGCGTCGCGCAACACGGAGACATTCAAAAGGGCTCGCTTCAAGCGTCAGTCCCACCTATGCAATTACTCCGGGGTCGACAGCAAAATTAGGGCTGCACGCTCTTCTAGTGCTTTTTGTGCACCTCCATAAATGCTACTGTGTTACGCTAACAGCTGCATTCTGTACTCTTCTCTAGTTGTGTACATATCGCTTTTGTAAGCGTTTTCCCTTATATCTTCTGTCGCTCAGCCCTTTTCAGCATATTTGATGCCGTTACCTGTTACTTTGAGGCCGATATTTCTATTTTTCTATTATTTCCTTGGCTCATCTTTATTTTTGGTACTATTTATTTTGGCGTTTATAGATTATCCGATGATACCATGAACTATGTTAAATCCATAAATGTTCTAGTTTTTCCCGGTACTGCTATTTTAACTCTTTTCGGGTGACGATTGTGTGCTTCTGCTAGTCAACCTAACCGGTTTGACTTGTTGGAGGGCCATTTTGAAGTACACCTTGTGTGATTGGATTGCGATGTGCAATCCCATTTTAGACCGTGATTCGCATTGAGCTGAACCTTGGTCATTACGATCACTGGGGACCGAAGCCGAAACAGATGGAACTTAGTTGTTGGCCGCTACACACAACGACACGTTTCGATCTCATATGGTGAAGTTGGCAGACCTCGAACCCGCAACCATTGGAATAGTAGCCGAAAGCTCTACCACTTGGGCTACCGGGTCACGACGAGCAACGCTTGGTACAACCGTGAATGACCTATTAGAAAGCCATTATCAAGTACGCGTTGTATGATGGATTACGACGCGTTATCTCGATGTGGACCGTGATATGCATTGAAATAAATCTTGGCCATTTCGATCACTGGGACCGTAGTTGATGAAGCGTAGGGGGATTGGGTCTTGCCCGTCCGAGAACACTACATCACAGTATAACTTGACCACAGACTACAATGGCATAGAAACTCTTCCGCGATTGTTTTTGGTACACTTGTCGAAGAACAGATTTGCTTCCGACAGATCGCCGTAGATTGTAAGGCATATGCTCTATGAGTTCCATCACATTTAAGTGATTGTATTTGACTTATTTCTGAGATAATTTCTCCACTGAACTCCTTTAACGATAGTCATTTGATCCCCAGAATTGTAGTACTATTTGGAACATCGTTCAATTCGATCGAATTTAGTTACTTTCATTGTTTGTCCCCACTGAGTTGGGGGCCACATCTTCGTTGCGCTCATGTTTTCGTTCGACACTGATTTCTTGATCTTGGGCGTTGCTTCTTTATCATGATTACCCGATGCAGCTTGTGTTGTGCTTGATAATGGATTTGGCGAGTTTGTTTTTGACTACACGAGCGGAACTAATTCTCGGTAATTCGTAACCGCGTTGCGTCATTAGCACTACTACATATCATACAGGTGCTTCGCTGTCATAAACGCGCAAGTGTTTGTATATCGATTAGGACACTAACAAGTGCACAAATATTGGTAATCGTTTTCTCAACATGTCAAACTCAGGTATGATGGTTGAACTAACAATAGTTCCACTGGTTGACATGTTGCACTAGATACAACTGTACTCTATACGCCTATCTTCACGCAAGGCGATTCCAAGGACGAAAGGAGTGAAATGGAAATCGTAAGACGTGACTCTATGATGGTAATTTTAGATGTACGGAAATGGCTTACGACGAGATTGATAGACGTAGTCTGAATGTTGCTCAGCAATGAGCCAAAACAGTTCCATCAGTTTACACTCCGAGTCAGCGGTGAGACAGACATCAACGAGCAACACCTCAGCGGTAAAGAGAGTGATAATGATTCAGTAAGGTGGTGCTTCAGTTTACCACCGTGATGCGGATTTAAAAAAACGTAATGTACGTGTTCTGTACTTCGGGTGGTTGTGCACCATAGGAATGACATATCCATCTACTGACTGGTAGGAAAGGAAGACTGGAAATTAACAATTTGCGAATTTGCGATTTACAACCTCGTTACCTGCTACCACTTTTGAATGAAACCAGAGCGAACATCATAATTCTATAGCACCAGCTAGTCTGGTTAAATGACAATACATGTCCAACCAGTGTAAACATCAGACCTAATTGTTTTCTGCTCTATTTCGATAGGTCTTCGTTTTTTGTTCCACCATTACCGATATGGGTTTCAGTGGTCCTCGCGGTCCAAGTTGCTGTTTTAATTGTCCCTTGGTACTAGCAATCATTCCGTTCAATTCAGCGCATGCGTATGTTGTTCTGGGACTTTTACTCTAATTGGCCTACCGATCCCTGTTTTTTTCGTGATTTGTCAAACTCAGGTAGCCCATTTCTCCATTGACTGTGCACAGCTTGACGTGGACATTCTGCTTCATACTTGGCCTACGGCGACAGTTTTGGCAATTGCTACGCTCGTTGCGGAGCTGTACGCTATCGGGCGCGTCCCCAAGTTGCGGATCGGGGAATGCCTTCCTTGTGGAGATAACTGCGAATAAGTATCGTTTGCTTTGCAGGCGAGATGAATAAGCAGTCGCGGACAATCAGCGGCAGCGTCTCAGAGCGTGAGGAGTTCTGAGCTGGTCACCTGGTTCTCCATTAAATACCACAAGTGCTCGTACGGCGCTGTGTAGCCACTGCAATCCACTGCTTCCAAGTTGTGTCCACTTTGGGCAACCCAGAAGTTACCAATGCCTCTGGTCAAGCGAACCCAACCGATCTCCGCCACAACACATTGTATTTACCACTTTGTCTGTAGTTGTGGAAGCTGTTACATTGGCAGAACAGATCGGTGTTTGCGTAAGCAGATCGAAGACCATATTCCGAAATGGCTTGCAGCTGCTCTGACAGCTGATGCACAGAGACAGATGTCCAGCTCCAAGATGCCCACCTCATCGATCGCTAAACACCTGCTTAGCACTGACCATCAGGTTGACTCTAACATGGCATTTGCCGTTATCTATCGCAATACGAATGCCAAAATACTCAAGTTCGCGGAGGCCGTAGCCATCAACCGTGGTCGTCCAGACCTTTCCGTACAAACACAGTTAACTGTCACACTCAAGCTTTCTTGGGTATCGTGACAGTCTTCTCACAAATTGTATCCCTGTTTTTGGTCGGCCAGTGGCCGAGTGGTCTGCGCGTTTGGTTTGCAACCATATGGTCACCGGTTCGAATCCGCGTAGGGGTGGGCGTCCTCGCGGTATACTCAGCCCGCGCGCGACTGGTGGTGGTCGCGCGGTAGCGAAGCGCCGTTACGGCGTACTGCTGACACATTATTATTATTATTATTTACATCCCCGTTTTTGGATTTACGTTTACGTGTTTTCTCTTCCTGTCTGACGGCCTTTAATCATTGATTTTTTTCCTTTCATTGATTGTTGTACGTGTTACTACTTTGCATATGATCGTATAGTACGAATTGATATCATCTTGCAACTTGCGTCTTCTCATTGTATTGTTCAGAGTAATTTTGCTGGTGATCTTTGTCATGGCAACTTGACGCATCGAATTCGAGGTTTTGTTCTGTATCAATCCGTTAGAAGCTGTACTTCTTTACGCCGTACATTGTAATTTTCTAGCCACTCACTTTTCGGGTGATTTTTGTCTTATGGACGGCCTGTGCTTTTTCCTTCCTTCATGAAGTTGACTTTATTTTTCAACATTTGGTACTATGTGGTCACAATCACAACACTTGCTTACTTTTCCGTTTGCTTGATTCATGCGTAGTGTGTTTACAGAAGGCACTCTCGATTTATCGGTTAGCACATTCGCCATCTGTGATGGTTCGGCGATCTGACCCCACAATTTCTACGGTTGAACATAGGCAGGATACCGACCACTTCGCCGTGGCACCATTCACACTTTATTACATATGAAAAAAATAAAATCTTTAGCTAGCTAAAAGACGTGAATATGATCGATTGTTGATTGGCTTGTTTTGACCCATAATCCCCACTTTCGTCTCAGTAATACTTATAAGTATTACTATTATTACTATTATTATTATTATTTATTATTATTATTATTACTACTATTATTATTACATATTTATAAATATGTTGGTGAAACCCACTGTCTTGCATAATTGAATTTTACAATAAATATGAATACTGGTAGCCCGGGTTGGCAGTTGGTCTTGATTGATTCTCCGAGCCGAGCAATTTGATTGCAGACTTTTCGCCACCAATCTAGGTAGCATCAGCGCGTAATACCAGCCACGTCATCAACAAGTACTGGGTCTGAAACAAATCCGGGGATGGAAATTAAGCACAAACTCGGTAATATGGATTTGCTCGCAACTCAGTATCTACTAGCAAGCTGCTTGCACTTACGTACTGAACATGCCACCTCTGTTGGTGGTGAAGTATGTGCAATCAAGTCGCTCAACTCGGAGAACCCATCAAGAATTCACCAGTGAAGTCTGTCCGATGAAGCGTACTAGTGGCGCTGATAAATAGTTAGAGAATGCCTTGTACTCCATCTAACATCATTCGACACTTAGCTTATTACGACTAGGTCATTGTTACTAGTAGCAATACTGCGTGTCTATGACGACACCATGCAGGCATACACACACGTGAATTTAGGTTGCAGGCTTATCTAACACGAAGTAGAAGATAATCATGTGATCACACGAGATCATCTCACATTTGTTACCATCATCATCAACAGCAGTACATCAGCCATTTAAACTGATGATTCGCCGCCATGCAACCACAATGACCTACAGAACAAAGAATACTGAGAGGGAAAGAAGGGTGACTTACTGGGAAACCTTAATGCCCCAAGCAAACATTCATAGTCAAAGCGCCTGCATTTTGTCAACAGCATACTGTCACAAACGAATGACTATCGTGCAAAGAGGAGGTGGCATCAGCGGGACAGCCTCCTTGCGGCTTTTACTTCCTTGCGTCATAACCAACCATTATCCCGTAGATAACACAGCACCAAACACACTTGAAACAGGCAATCCGATTAGGAGACGACGGCAGACACGCCACTGGTGCCGACTGCGAGCCATGTCTTGTAACCTCTCGAGCCAAGCACAAGGCGAATCACGTGAACTCCAGTCCGGCAGGCGAGATGAACAGACGGCACCCAATTTGGCCGTCAGTGACTTCATTTTCCCGCTGCC